CGCGCAGCTTCAGCTACTTGACGTTTGCCATCTCTCGTGTGGCTCTGGCCAACTGAAAGCCCTGCTTGCCCGACTTGGCCTGGATTCCCCCGATTCTGACTTCTCTTCTCAGCTTGTCCCCTCCGCGGTTTATCTGAGATTCACCACCCATCCCAAATGGCAAACCTTTTTCTATGTCGGTGCAACTCGCACCTCTCTCATGGCTCGGGATCACAGCCGATTCCGCAAGCTACTCCAAGTTCAACGACACCATTTGGTCAACGCCGAGCTGGCCGTTCGATGGTGGGCGCATTTCGATGTTTTCCACTTTTACGCTTCAGTGCCCATCCACATCGCCGTCCCAGCAGCCGACCTCTTCGCTACTGAGCAGTTCTACATTCAAGAACTACAACCGTCTCTCAATTTTGGCTTCATCGAGAGACATTTTCGGCCACGCACGGGCTTCATACGACAATTGGACTTTTCCCAATCCCGGCACATGGGTTTCGCCACCATTTGGCGGAAACGTCGCAGACTACGACTACCAATCGCTCTGCAACAAGCTTTCCTTGCCAAGCGCATGAGCAACCGCCTGGATTTGTGGCGACTCTTGGGCGACCTCGGCAGCAACACCCTACGACGATTCGATGCCATCCGTTACGTACGGAGCAGGGACTTCCCACACGCTGCCCTATACATCCTTCATCGCATCGCTGCGCACTTGCCTGAACCACACCACCAGGCATGCACGATCTAGCCTGCGTTTCCGGGGCCTTATCCCACCCGGCCCCTCCAGACCGATGCTTGCGCCTTTCTTCGCACATCCCTCCTATCGGACTTTGCTTTTGTCCCAGCTACGCGGGTTTATCAGATCCACCACCCGCAGTGCTCTACCGTTCCATGTGGCGCAACCACGCATCGTTTTCAAGGCACACCGGAAACTATCCAGTGCCTTGTTCTGACACCTCCAGGCAGCTCAAGCCTGGAGTCTTGGCGAGACGTCCTGCACATGCACCGAACTCGCTAAGCGACACCCATCCCTCCCGAAGCATGAGGGACACCTCCTTTTCTCCGGCTCCGACACTCATGAGCTGTTCGACCCCGCCATAGTCAGCATGCTTTCCGGTTCAATGCGGAACTCCTTCTTTCCTCCACGCGGGGTCTTGATGAATCGTCTGACTCAGGCGTTCCACCACTGGGCCAGGACCAACAACCTGCCCTCGCTCGATCCATCCACCCTTTCTACTCTTGTCGATTTCCACTTCGACCTCCACCGTCCTCACACACCACAGTACTTTCTACATGCTCATGTTCAACAAGCTCTGGCAACCCTGGAGCCCCTTGTCCGCCATTGCGAAGATCATGCGGACTCCCGACTCATGCTCGACTGCCCCGCTGTGTACGGCAAGATGCTGGACGCCGCACTCACGGATCCTGCCATCTTCGCTCCCTTGCCAGTTCCATCCATTGAGATCCATCAGCGGCAACGAGAAAGCATTGTCAGCAGATTCCGCGGTCGCTATCCATGGGCCGTGACCGGTTTCGGTCGACCAGCGACTGCCTACATCCTCCCCAAGAGGAAGAAGAACTGGACCACTGCTCGACCTATCATCAGCTTCGTTGGCGCCTTCTTCCGACCCATGCTTGACGCTCTCGCCAAACTGCTCCACAGCATGGTTGCCACGGCCTGCCCAGACGCATTTTCAGGTGGCGACCTCTTCGATCTCATGCGGTCCTTGCATGAGTTTCTCCTCCTCGGCCACACCCATCTGGACTGTCGAAACCAGGACCTTTCCGGCTTCTTCACTTCCATCGACAAAGACCGCTTCTTAGCAGCCTGGCGTCTGCTTTTGACTTGGTACCGACAGCGGCAACCACATTCCACCACCACACACCTCACTGTGGACACACTTGACACCTCTTCCACCACCCGCGTCTACAACGGACGCCGTCGCCGACACAAGCCGGCACAACGCACTCTGTGGCTTGACGACATCCCCGAAATCATCCAAGCTACCCTTGACATGCAGATCTTCTCTGTCGGCTTCCGTTCCTTCAGGCAAACACGCGGGGCCCCGATGGGATCCCCCGCATCCCCTGCTTTATGCCTGATGGTAATCGCGGTTGCCGAGCAAATCTGGGCCAACACCCATCCTACTTCGGGACCTCGCTCCTTTGAGGTCGCAACTCCTAGATGGTTTTCGACCCCGGCAGCCCACATCTTGTGCGATGAACACTTCTACGGAGGAGACATCATTTTGGAAACAGAAGCCGCCCTGGATTTCTTGGGTTTTCGACTAGACCTTGACAGCGGCACCATCTCTTTCATCCCCTCGTATGAGAAGCACAACATGCTCTCCATCAAATCGGCCGCACCAATGACGCACAAGGAGTCCGGATATTACTCCAGACGCACGCTGATCAACCGGGTTTCCTTTCCTGAGTTTCAGCGCGATCACGATCTCGCATTGCTGACGAGGTTGTACCGCCAACACGGTTTCACCTTGCAGAAAGAAAGAAAAAACGTACCGGCCTTCCTTTGCCACCATTTAAGATTGCACCCACTTTTTCATTCTTTGCCCATCGGCAGATCCCCACATGACCTGCTTTCACACCGCAGCTGTCTGACGTAAAACCTTGTGCGATTATGGATCCTGACACAGCACGCCGGCTGCTTGAAGATTTTGAACTCATCATCGGCATTGCCCAGCAAGGCTTCGCTACCGTTCGCGAGTTCGCTGAGGGTCCGGATTTTGCACCGGAAGCTCCAATCATTCTCACAGTGGAGGACATGGCCATTTCACCACCTACACCTCCCCTGACCCCCCCCGATGAGTTCAATGAACCACTTCCTGAAGATCCTGGCGAACAACTTCCCGAAGCTCATGGTGAACAATTTCCTGACCATTGGTCTCCGCCCACTCCACCCTCTCCTCCTGACAAAAAACGAGCTCGTCGCACACGCGACAAGACCTCCTCACGCTCTTCGGCATCCAAACCTAGCCGTGGACAACGCGAAGCTACCCCATCGACCAGGACTGATGCCGCTACTGAGGCTGATCCCGATGCCCCGCAACCTTGGACTGAGGAGGAGATTGATCTCCTCCGTTCGCTTAAGATCAATACCAAGGCCCAGCATGCATGGTCTGTCATCGCCACGAGACTTTCCCGCACAGTCGAAGATTGCAAGACTCAATGGGCCTTGCATAAGTGAGCTCGCCCCGCTCGGGGCCTTGTGTGTGTGAACCGTCACCTTTGGAAAATTTTCCTAAGCAGGGGAGTGCGGCATGACTGAGGGACCGCACTCAACGAAGCTACCTCAGTCATGGGATATCGGATCTGATCAATCCGACGTACCTGCCTATTTCCTGAGCCTCTTTCCTGATTCCTTTTGCGGTTTCTGTTTGTTGCTGTTGCTTCCTGTTCGGTGTCGATGTTGTGACCTGTTGATTTGCATTTGCATTCGAGCATTTTTACTGACTGCGGTTTTCATCTCGGCTAGTGAAGCCTCTCGAGATAAGTGTGTGTGTGTGTGTGTATGGCTGTGCACGTGCGCGGGACCCCACCCCACCCCTCTTGAATGGCACGATGACAACACGGGCATGGAAATGACAAGTGCGCTCACAGCTGGAACTCTCAACGGGGCTACGCTCATACATATATATATATATATATATAATGAAGGTAAAACAAGGTTAGACATCATCAATTTCTTTGGTTCGAAGCAGTAGCCAGGGTAGAACAAGGTTGACGTCATCAGTTCTCGCTCGAGAAGTATCCAAGGCAAAGCAAGGTTTGACATCATCTATCTCTTTGGTTGGACATATACCCGAGGTACAAGGTTTGACATGGTCAATTTCTTTGGTTAGGCACATATCCAGTGGCAAAACAAGTCCAAACATTTCAACACGTGTTGCCTTTGTTTAACGAAGTCCAGAGAGTCGCGTCTATTTTGACCTGGAAGGTTCAAGGTGCCATATGTATCCATGCCCCGGAATGACCTGTTTCCTTCTGGTTTCCCTTTAAATCGCACCAAAAGGGGGTTCCCCAAGTTTGAGTGGATGGCAGTTGATCCTGCAGGCTTTGTTTAAAAAAGTCTTCCAAAGGGTTTGTATGAAGCAGTGTGAAGCCGAGTCTTTGCGAGGACGACAGCGGCAACGCCACGCTGGATTTGCCTGGGTTCCACATCCGCCTGGCCAAGCCGTTGCGCAAGATGGACGGCAAAGGGTCGCAATTGCTACGAGTGGCTTTTCTTGGGTTGGGTTTCTATAAAAACTACGTTTCTATCGAAATCCAAGGGCTTCTATAACAAACACGTTTACATAGAAACCCAATGCACGGTTCAAAGAGAACTCGAGAGACACTCTGCGACTTGGTTCGACTTCGAGACACGAGTCGGCGACTGTTGCGAGGACTATGTTCAGATCAAATCCACGAAGAGAGTGGGACAGGCCGCAAAAAAGGTGTTGCATCAGCTGTCTTCGGTCCTTTTTTTTTGGAGGTCAGGCTTCTCACCTATGAGAGCGAGTACCAGGTGTACGGCCTTGCGCCTTGGCGACATTCTATTGTTGCATGCAGCGCAGACCGTTGCGCAGTTCAGCGGTTTCATTTTCAGACGTGTTTCGTTTTTGCAGGGGCCATTTGGCCTTTGAAATATGAGGATTCAAGGGACAATAGGCCTCACAGCTACTTCTACAACCAGACGCTTGGCTTGGCTTCCAAAGGGGGGCTTTTGGATGCTGCCTGGGACGTCTTTATGGTGTACAACTGATATAGTTGTCGCAAGCAACATCAAAAAACACATTCTCAAGATCGAACACAGGGTATGGGTCAAATCAAACCACCGGGAGACCGCAGGTTTCAGTCCTTGGTTGGTTGGTTCCATTGTCTTGGATGCCTATTTTTGACCCACAGCCAAATGGGTGCGTCATTTCTGGGCCAAAGGCAAGCATCGCTTGCTGGGAATTCGAAGGCTGCTGAAGCTGAATGCAGAGCCGTCCTGGAAGTATGCAGACCCTGTGATGGCCCTGGACTCTGAAAATGGCCGCTGCCTTGGCTTTCTGCACACTTGGAGCTTGAATCCACGAAAAATTCGGTGATATGGCCGTGGGTCAACACCAATGGTGCCATTCTGGGGTAGGTGCGCCACCCATTTTAGAACCTATTTTAGTGGGGATTGGGATGTTCACTGGGGGTACGATTTGGGTTTTGACCCATAGCCATATCCATCTTGCCTCGAGAACCATGGCCCTCACCCTGTGGCTGTGAACATAGCACGCCCGTCAAGTCTCCCTCGCCATCACTCACCCGAGGCTTTTGGTACCCGGCGGTCATTGCCAGAGGTGCTTTCTCCAGCCCCTACCAGTATGATGCGGACGGCAAGTGGGATGGCTTGTACCGCACCTTGCCGGCGAGTTGGGAGTTGGGAGTGGTGAAAGGAGGCTTGAGAAAGAGATATCTTGTTTATGTGTGAGCAGGTAGTGCCTCACTGAAAGATGCGGGTGAGTCTATTTTGGGGTCATCAAAAACCGGAATCCTGCAGAGATCAAAAACAGACTCACCTGCATGCAGCCGACGTACCCGGACTGGAAGCGAGCACGGCAAGAATGAGCAACTGGCAAAATTATTCGTAGTGTATTGTTACTGTGTCGACCGATGGGAGATCATGCTAGGTTATGTCAAGTTATGTCTGAGGTTTCCTGGATCAACAGGAAATGGATTACATGTCTGCAACGGAGATCATACAGCGGTAGCCAGCAGACAGCTGATGACAAGCCTCTTGAGGCGGCTAGTGCCTTCCTTAGATATGAGGTGATGGCTCAGTCTGATGCTCCGTCCACGCTGCTTCCTGAGAGTTAGTGGGTGCAGCGACGTGCTCACGAAGCTGATTTGGCGGGCGTGGCGAACACGGCTTCCCAAGATTGCGTGCAACGTGGAGCTCACTCAGGAGGTGGTGTTGGAAAGAGACCCAGATGATGAGCGTGGCCGTGCTTTCCACGGCGGGCTGGGAGGCTGGAGCCTCGCAGTCAGACTAGACTGACCGCAAATCAGCTGGGGCGTCGGCTTTTTGCACAATGGCGAGTGTCAGCAACATGGAGCGTCGTTGGGAAGTTGTGTTGGACGCCATCCAGGCAATGTGAAAACGGGCTTTGCCAGTGCAAAGTGAACTGGCTGCCCCTGGCCACGTGACATGGTAGCGTGGCTGATAGGAGACATGTTTGGAAGGACCGAGCAGCGCAGAAGAGCCTTTGCGCGGCCGCGTCAGCTCGTCCTCTTTGCGCCTCTGACTCTCTGTCGCGTTCTTCCCTGCCTGTGGCGCCTGTCCCTTGCTGGCCGCCGCTTGCCGGTACTCCCGAAGAGCTACGGTGATGTTGCCTGATGCAGGTGCCAAAAGACAGACACTTCCCAAACCCACCCTTGAGGCGGCCAGATACTTTGATCCACCCATTCTTGGCAATACATTACTCTCAACACTGACATGGTTGGGCAGTGCAACTTATATCGATGCAACTTATGTCGATTGGAGTTTTTATCTTGAGTGAGGGGAAAAATGCAGCCCTAACATTTGAATATACTTTAATCAGGAACAAACTCAATTCGATGTTTATCATATGCAGTAGAGTGGCTTTCTATTTCAAGAGGCAGGCAAAGTAGAAGAAACAGACAGATTTCCTTGCAAAAAACGTATTTTGGAAAGGAATTGTTTCGGTATTGATATGTTTCTATTCTAATTGGGTTTTCATCAAACTCCTTTGGAGGGACTTCCTTCTACAAACTTGCAAACATCCTCAAGTTTTCCAAGAAAAAAAGAACATGGCGGACCCCATGTGGGCACAGCTTTTATGAGGGGCTGCTCTGTTCCCCCAAAGGAAGCATCATCATGGGATTGCGACTGATTTACCCTCAAATTGGTGAGCTCAAAGCCAAAAAAACAGGTGGCTTATGTTCGGGTCCCGTTCCGTCCAAAGCTTGGCCCGCTACATAGAAAGTCATATGACAAGATTCCGTTTCATCTTCAGCCCCAGGATAGCCATGAATTTGGGCTTGCCTCAGATGAGACTGAGTGCGCAGCCCAGGCATCCGCTGGCAGGATGCCAAAAGTGACGACCTCTACAAGACGGATCTGGAGCTGAAGAGTTTCACCGGACAGGAGGTCACGCAGTTGGTGCAAAAGGTACGCCCGGAGGATTGCCGGATCCTGAGGGAGCGAGCTGGGATGGCTCATTCGGAGTGGGTTTTCTCGGGACAACTGCGAATCGACCCAAGGCAGCAAGCGCTTATTTGCTGCTCGTCTTGACAAGGACATTCATTTGCCATCGGGCTTCTTGCATTTTGCCAGCAGGTTGCTCCCATGCTTGTATAATTCCTTTTAGCTCGCGTGACGCTTGTATCTGCTTTTGGTGTGTTGCTTGCTCGCATGCTGCCCCTTGGCTGTTGCTTGCAGCTTGCTTGCTTATTGCGAACTTGACTTATTTGTTTTCGCTTTCTGACTGCGATGCCATCAGATGAATGCGCCAGCCTGACAGGACGCGATGTGTCCACAAATGTGCCCTTTTTGGTCAGAGACGAAGTTCTATTGTCTCCTGGCAGCCAAATCTTTGCAGTGTGATTTTGGTTGCACAGGCAAGGGTCTAGCTTGGATGTTCAACGCACTTAAGTAGGCTCTACCGCGTTTCAAGCATGGTCACCTTGTGAGCCAAGCCCGTTTACCTCAGTTCTCTTCCACAGCTGGTTGATGGGAATTCTGAGGCAGCTTCAAGTGCGTGGGCGTGTGCCCCAACTTCTTGGAGTCCCCGGCATATGTCCGGGCCTCATCGATCCGCGCCTTGGAGATGAAAGCGAGCCTGCGGAGGTCATGGACGCGAAGGAGAACTCCTGCAAGCGCTGCGGCGTGCGGCAGTGCAAGCGGCCTGGCGGATTCCGTTGTGTCCTTTTTTTTTGGTTGCGAAACCCCAGACAAAAGGAAATATGAACAGCTAGAAGCCCAGCCCCAAGAGGTTCGGCGTTGAAGCCTCCGAAAAGGAAATACAAACAGCGAGAAGCCTAGGTAGCTCAGGTATCCCCAAGAGGTTCGGCGTTGGAGCCTCCAAAAAGGAAATACGAACAGCGAGAAGCCCAGGTATCTCAGGTATCCCCAAGAGGTTCGGCGTTGAAGCCTCAGAAAAGGAAATACGAACAGCGAGAAGCCCAGGTAGCTCAGGTATCCCCAAGAGGTTCGGCGTTGAAGCCTCCGAAAAGGAAATACGAACAGCGAGAAGCCCAGGTACCTCAGGTATCCCCAAGAGGTTCGGCGTTGAAGCCTCCGAAAAGGAAATACAAACAGCGAGAAGCCCAGGTAGCTCAGGTATCCCCAAGAGGTTTGGCGTTGAAGCCTCCGAAAAGGAAATACAATCAGCGAGAAGCCCAGGTACCTCAGGTATCCCCAAGAGGTTCGGCGTTGAAGCCTCCGAAAAGGAAATACAAACAGCGAGAAGCCCAGGTACCTCAGGTATCCCCAAGGGGTTCGGGGTTGAAGCCTCAGAAAAGGAAATACGAACAGCGAGAAGCCCAGGTAGCTCAGGTATCCCCAAGAGGTTCGGCGTTGAAGCCTCCGAAAAGGAAATACGAACAGCGAGAAGCCCAGGTAGCTCAGGTATCCCCAAGAGGTTCGGCGTTGAAGCCTCAGAAAAGGAAATACAAACAGCGAGAAGCCCAGGTAGCTCAGGTATCCCCAAGAGGTTTGGCGTTGAAGCCTCCGAAAAGGAAATACAATCAGCGAGACGCCCAGGTACCTCAGGTATCCCCAAGAGGTTCGGGGTTGAAGCCTCCGAAAAGGAAATACGAACAGCGAGAAGCCCAGGTAGCTCAGGTATCCCCAAGAGGTTCGGCGTTGAAGCCTCCGAAAAGGAAATACAAACAGCGAGAAGCCCAGGTACCTCAGGTATCCCCAAGAGGTTCGGCGTTGAAGCCTCCGAAAAGGAAATACAAACAGCGAGAAGCCCAGGTACCTCAGGTATCCCCAAGGGGTTCGGGGTTGAAGCCTCAGAAAAGCGAAATACCTCAGGTATCCCCACGGGGTTGAAGCCTCAGAGGAAATACGAACAGCGAGAAGCCCAGGTAGCTCAGGTATCCCCAAGAGGTTCGGCGTTGAAGCCTCCGAAAAGGAAATACGAACAGCGAGAAGCCCAGGTAGCTCAGGTATCCCCAAGAGGTTCGGCGTTGAAGCCTCAGAAAAGGAAATACAAACAGCGAGAAACCCAGGTAGCTCAGGTATCCCCAAGAGGTTTGGCGTTGAAGCCTCCGAAAAGGAAATACAATCAGCGAGAAGCCCAGGTACCTCAGGTATCCCCAAGAGGTTCGGCGTTGAAGCCTCCGAAAAGGAAATACAAACAGCGAGAAGCCCAGGTACCTCAGGTATCCCCAAGAGTTTCCCCCAAGAGGTTCGGCGTTGAAGCCACCGAAAAGGAAATACAAACAGCGAGAAGCCCAGGTACCTCAAGTATCCGCAGGAGGTTCGGCATTTTTTAACCCTTCCTGAAGGCTGCAGACCCCAGAGCCGATTTGGGCAGGGGCCAAGCTGTTGGGGAACAAACCTTGGACCAAGCACTTGGCGCATGAGGCGATGTGCCAGTACGGACCGGCTGAAGTGCGAGACCTGCTTGCCAGGTTACAAGCTGCTTGGCCGACGGACCCCATCGCTTACGGCCCCTTTTTTTTCTCTCACGTCACGCCATGCGGGCATGTATTTTGTAGGGGGCTTTTAGTTTTCCTTTGGGGGGTTCCCTTTAAAGCCACAAAAAATGGGTATCCTCAAAAGACAGAGACGCATGTCGCGCACACGCAACTTTTGAGAAACGGATGGTTTCTGCCACCAAACGTTTGACGTTTGGCGGGCCGTAGGGGTCAAAGACTCGCAGTAACTTGCCGAGGCTTGACCAGGAAGGCGCTGTTTGTGGGGAGCCCAGAGAGATCGTGCTCTTGCGTTGTCGTGGGGAGCGCTTCAGGAAATCTGGGAAGCCTGTGTCATTGGGTTTCAAGCGATTCTACCGATCTGGCACAAACGGGCTCATGTGAGAACTCATAGTGCCCAAGACTCTAGATGTTTCCACCCGGATCTTATGGTGGTTCTAGCAAGGCCGAATTTGAATGTAGCCCGCCCCAACCTTGCTACCTTGGGATCCAGTAAGGGCTAAAAAAAACAAACAAAATCCCTTCTCCCATGTTTTCTTGGGAGTCCACAAAAAAACGGGTACCCTTCTCCTCCCATGTTGCGTGCTGAGTCCCTGGGTTGTGGTGGGCGTTTTTGATCGATTGGCTTGTCTCAGGTTCCAAGAAGCCCACAGGCTTCCTGTCCTGGCTGCAGATCACCATGGTCACCGCGGCGGAGGATGGCACCGTTGTGCTCAGCACCGCCAAACCCTCAGCGAGAGCGTTTTTTTGCCCGGGGTTCAGCTGGCCATGGGTCAAAATCCAAATCGTACCCCCAGTGAACATCCCAATTTCCACTAAAATCCCGACTAAAACGAGTGGTGCACCTGCCCCAAAATGGGATCCCATTGGTTTTGACCACCACAGCCGGCTGACGCTGACCGTGGGGTTCTAGCTCGGTTCCCATGGAAGACTTCACCCGTGACTTGGTTCCAGGGAGGCCAGTTTGTTTAGCGGTTGGGTGTCCGAATCAAACCCGCAAGTGAAACTCTTAGCAGAAAATCTGAGGACAGCCCAGAAACCCACCCAAAACGGAAGATGAGAAAGGGGATTCCCAGATGGTCTACTTGGGGTTGTCTCAAAATTAGGGTTGGACCTCCCCAAGATGTTTGACTGCCACCACAAAGGGAACCTCCCACAAACTGGGGAACCCTCAAACATGTGTGGTCTCGTTTTCCCTTTAACCCGGATTTTTTCTTATTTTGGACATACACATGCCACCATCAGGTTTGCCGGAAGGGGGCCTGCCTGACTAGCAGCCAATCACATGCCATGTTTGCCTCAGGTCACCTGCCTCCTTGCGATCATAGCAGCGGCCTGATTCGGGTTTCCTTTAGGGAAAAATCTTTGAATGATTGAAGGGTTTATGACTGAGGGGTCAAGGGCATGACAGATTGCGAGCTACCTGGCGCAAGCATATGCATGGCGGACATCCTCAGGTTGCCTGGTATGTGGATATGCGGACTCGCGGCGCTGCTGGGCTTAAACAAATCCCATCCCCACTCAACTCTTGCCCCTGCCATGATCCAAAAGCTAGCATTCGCATTTGTCGGATTGAGATATACTGCCGTTGTCACGGTTGCCGTTCATTGCGATTCTCAACACATTTGGAGCCTTCCCCCCATAACTAATGTGGGGCCATCCATCCAAGCCACCCATCCTTCCAAAATGATGGACAAAGTGTGTTACAGGGTACCAAACAGGGCCAGGGTGTTTCAAAAGTCTTCACACCTCGCTTGAGTGGGGGTTGCTGAAAATAGAACTCGGTCCATGTCCTATGGCAACTTTTGCTTCCTTTTGTTATGCTTCAGCCACCGAACAAATCAGCCACCACAACAAATGTTTCCATGATCTTGTTTTTCTTCAGAATACATTCTCGGGGCCATTCTTTTTGCCCCTTCCCCCCCCTGTCCCCCTCCCCCTGCTCCCCCCCCCCTCTCACCCCCCTGCTCCCCCCCGCCCTGCTCCCCCCCCCCCTCTCACCCCCCCCCTCCCCCCCCCCCTTCCCTCGTCATTTCAGACGGCCCGGCTGGCTTCCGGGCCCGGGAAGCGATGCCCGGGTTTTTTTCGCTTCGGCCTGAGGTGACCAACACCGGCGCCATCGAGGCGGTGGACGCCTTCGCCACCAGCCAGCGGCTCCTGCGCAAGGCAGGGGGAGCCCGGGGGGATCCCCGGCTTTTGGTCCGCGCCTTGAGGCGGCCCGTTGTGGAATACAGAATCCCTCGGAAAAAAGAAAGAAAACACAAACAAACAAACAAACAAACAACTAATAAGCTAGAAAATGATTTTGAAGAGTTAAGGGAGGGACTTATTTTGGATATTGGGAGGCCGCTTTTTTTTTCAGAGAAGCTGGGAAAGCCTTTTTTCGGGGTGTTCTTTCGGGGTTCCGCTGGAAAAATGGTGGGAGCAATGGGGGGATTGCCTGAAAGAGGATTACCCCATATATTGAAGGGTTTCAAGGGTATGAGGAAGAACCCATGGTATCAGAAGTCCACCGGGAAACCGGGGGCTATGTGAAGGTGTAGGCAGCAAGCAACAATTTGCTATACGGGACTATGTTGTTTGGGCACCAAAGGGAAATTCTGTGGACCAGTAAGGTCCACTAGGGCACACTATGGTGGGTTTAGATCAGATTGGCGATGTTTGAAGCGGTTTTGAGAAGTGCGCCCTCCTGTGTGAAGAAAAAGAAGGCAGTTCGAGGTATTCCTGTGGATTTGCAAGGGTATCTCGAGCGGGATCCTTCTACGAGACAGCCAGATAGAGAGAGAGAGAGAGAGAGAGAGAGAGAGAGAGAGAAAAGAGAGAGCCCTTCAGGGCGCCGACAGCGGGCTCTATCCCATGCTCACCAATCTGCAGACCCAGCCTGTGGCTGGCTTGGGGCTCATGTTCATGATGAATCTTGGTTCAAAAGTGCCACCCTCGAGCCCTTGAGCCTGGTACGCGGGGGTAGCAATCCGCGTTCGCCTTTTTTTTGGCGCAGCCCAAAGAAGGTCCGACTCCTGGCACTTTTCTGCACCAAGGAACTTCCAATGCGACGCTCTTCTGCCGAGCACAAGTTTTGCTTTTTGGCTCTGCCGGGCCGGGAGGAGACTTTTGCCTTTGATTGTCGCAGGTTTCGAGCACCTTGCCTAGTTGCGCCATGATCAGGTGGTCATCCTGCTGGCTGCGCTGGTTCTTGGCATGTGGTACATAGTGCTTTGGATCGAACCGGACACTTAGATCAGTTTAGCAGCTCTTGTCTTCCCTTTCCCGTGTGCTTCAACTCAGGAATTGGCAGATCTGGGCAAAGGGGAGGTGGATGATAGCCGGGTGCACTGCTCGATCGCTCACTGGGGCGCGGAAGTTCAGAATATGGCGCACGCCTCGGAGCAATATTTTTCCAATGTGACGCGCTTTGGGGAAAACACACACACACACACACACGCACACCGCAGCTTGGCTGAGGGTCTGATCCCGGAGCCGCTTGGATAAGATATGGGCACTGGACAGAAAAAACTCCCCGCAGGTCCGTTTGGCTGTGATATTTTCCGCAGGTCAGTCACCAGCGAGCACTTTTCTTGCTTTACTGTCACCCTGGCCTAGGTTGCTGTTCACGCTCGCTGTCTACGTGGTGGGGAGCTCGGCTGACACGTGTTCAAGCTTGCCAGAGAGGCCCATGCGCTAGGTCATGTTTGCCTTCTCGCTGGCGGTGGCAGCACTGCAGCGCCATTCTCAGAGGCTGAGGGCATCTCTAAGAGCTGGACTTCAATCGGGCGTTTCGTTTCTTTTTTTTTCCCCGGGGGCGGGGGGGGGGGGAGCCGCCCCCTTCTTCCCCTTCTGGTTCCTCTTCAGAGCCACTCCACAAAGGGTGCCCTGAAAGGAAAAAAGAAGTCCAATGAAGCTCACAGATCTTGCTGAGAACCCTTGAGAGCCTCAGATCTTCTAAGGCGCACCAGGTACCTTGAGCACGACGCAGGGAATATCACCATGAAGGACACAGCTGGCAGGGCTTCAAACAGGGTGTGTCTTAAAATGGGTTCCATATTGATATGGGTGCGTTTCTTTTAGGGGACCCCCAAGATGGTTGTTTTGTCGTTGGTTTCCCCAAAAAAGCACAAAAAGGGGGAACCTCTGAATTTGAAGCAAGGATAAACGCGGCTCCCTTTGCATGGCGTTGAAGGGAAACCAAAAGGAATCCATTTGGATGTGTTTTTTTCCACGGTATCACTCGGAGTCACTTGGCTATGAGCTTTCAAAAGTGGTTGGTGGAGGTGACTCCCCACCTAGATGCTGTCCACCAAATGAACTTGCTTTGCCTCAGCCCCAGGACTATGCTGCGGTAGTCAAAGGCGGGCGGGAGGTCGGGCTAAAGACTGGGCTACACCATTTGAGGGGGGTTTGTTCTCAAACTTCTTCAGAACCACCAAGCTCATTTTGAGGATGGCAAAATGGGCGTGGCTCAAAAATAGCAGGAGGGGCAAACCGGGTTTTGGGTTTCCAGTTTCCACTTACCAGGGCAACCCATGGTGGAATTCCCCGGTTTTTTGAATTCGCCACGGCCAAGTCTGAGACGCCGCGCCCGTTTCGGGCCCCGAGGGTTGGGGAGCCAACGACGGTTGCCAGGAGTGCCGGCCTTTCTGGGCGAGGAGAACGCGGAGGAGATTATGTCGCAGGCGATCCAGAAAAGTACCGGGCAGCAGCTGGGCAGCAGCTGCACAAATCTAGGGGTGTATATATAATATTATGTATATATATATATGTATATATATATTATATATATATATATCTATAGATACATACATACATACATACATACATACATACATACATACATACATACATACATACATACATACATACATACATACATACATACATACATACATACATACATACATACATACATGCATGCATGCATGCATGCATGCATGCATGCATACATTTTCTTCGGAGCAAAAGGGAACACCCATGCATAGGTGGTTCTACCAGGGTTCAATTGGGATAGCGCAACCAAACAACAAGAAACGTTGCAGCCAAATATCAGCGGGCTTCTTCGAGCGCTCATGTGGGAAGGTTTTGGCCCCCTTTTTGGCTGACAGCCAAAAGCTTGCCGTCTCTGCCCAGATAGGCTCCGGAGTGGTTCGCAGTGGCTCCGGGTTCTGGAAAGGGTTCCAAAGGGTTCCCCTCCAAAAAAGACTTGATCGAAAGGTCCTTAACGTAGGATGACCATTGCGGGAAACCCCTGAACAGACAACATGTTCAACCATTTGGGGCCCCTAAATGGAATATTGATCACCCCCGATGTGTTGCAAGGAAAGTGGTGGGCGTTTCCATCTGCTGGGACTTCAGGGAGGAGCAGCACCGAGTGAGGCTCTGGCTGCAAGGAGGTTTTATCAATGCGTTTCAACGCATGGCGCGAAGTTTGAGTTGGGGGTGGCTATTTTGAGGGCACCCTTGTTTCAGGGCTCCTGGCTTTTTCCACCAAAATAAAGTTGGACACCACCATTTACAAGGCAATGTTCAGATAATGTAAGGATCCCTGTTGTTGGGTCCTCTTAAAGTACAACTACAGGAACATTACCTCATTTTGGGGGGATTCCCAATTTGGGGACCCTTTGGTGGACATCAAACTTTGGTGGGGGTTTCTATCCACCAACCACTTGAAAGTGGTGTTTCTTTGTGAAACAGTCACAGCAATTCTGTATGACTTGGGATGGTGATGTGACATGGGGAACTTACTCAAGTTCTCACAATCAGAAAAATGACTTCGTGCGGTCAAAGCACCCCTGTACTTGGGCTTTTTAGGGATGGTTATCAACCGCTTGATATGGGGGCTTCAATCTTCAAACAACCTGCAAGGCTTCCTGAGGGACCATGGCACCCCAAGACCAGAGTCTTCACAGGAGTGTTTCTCAAAATGGGATTCGAACCCTCCTTTTGGTGAGAAATAGGGGAAGTCAAAAGAACTTTCTAGGAGAGACAATCTTAAAGGTCAACCAATCGCAGACAAAACCCAAGCCATGACCCGTTACCCACATAAGGCGTTGCAACCATGCATGTCTCCACATAACCATTGGTTTCCTTTCGGTTTCTGTTGAGCCGATCTAGAGAAGGAATCAAGCCACAAGGAAAACCAACATTGTGGGGTCTTCCAACTGTGAGGATAGCCTCTGATGCAGCAAGCCTCCGTTCTCGGTGCATTACCCTTCACGCCGAAGAAGTTTTATGGCACGCTGAGTCGTCGATTTCCGCCGGCGCTTCCGCTCAACTTGCCCGAGGAATGCATGCATCGATCGCTCCCTGGATCATCCGGAGCAGAGCGAGGCTGCCAAAGCGGAGAGCGCCCCCAAAAAAAATCCGCCAAGAGAGACATGTTTAGGGGACGGTTCTTGTAGGTTGCATGGGTGTAGCAAGGGCTGTATGAAGCTTTCTTGTTTTTTTGGACATGGGCGCTGCCGGCCTCAGGAGCCCGCTGTCGGCTCTGGAATGCTGGGTGGCATGTTCTTTAAGATTGAGCAGCGTGACTCGGCTTTTGTTGCTTCCATCCTTTGCTCGCGTTGGACGCAACGAGCGAGTTAGGTGTCCAACAAAACTGAAGCTTTCGGAAAGGGACATCAGGGCTTTTGACTTGATGCTTGCCTTGCTCCATCATTCGGCTTCATCGAAGGACAAAGATGGGTTGCCGCTGGCCAGTCCTTGCGTGTCTAGATGCCTCGTCCTTGCCGTGGTAAAAAAAAAACAAGAAGTACATTCCTATGCCGCAAACGGGCATTCATTGCCTGTAGGTCCGTTTGTTTGGACATGTAAGAGTCGAATCTTCAGGTCCTGGAAAGTACTCTGATGTGTTTTGACTGGTGGGACTGGTTTGATTCTGGGCGGGCAACAAGTGGTTTCCAGGCCTTGTGCGCATGTGCAGAGTCAGATTTCTCCAACCCGGCGAGCTCGCTGGCTCTGCCCAGCTCGAAGCGAAAGCCGCAGGCCTCGCGGGCGTCTTTTGTGTTTGGTACTCAATTTTTAGGAGTCCTCACTCAATATTTTGGGATTTCTCACTCAGTTTTTGGGAGTTCTCACTCAATTTTGGGAGTTCTCACTCAATTTTGGGAGTTCTCACTCAATTTTGGGAGTTCTCACTCAATTTTGGGAGTTCTCACTCAATTTTGGGAGTTCTCACTCAATTTTTGGGTGTTCTCACTCAATTTTTGGGTGTTCTCACTCAATTTTTGGGAGTTCTCACTCAATTTTTGGGTCTCAATTTTTGAGTGTTCTCACTCAATTTTTGGGAGTTCTCACTCAATTCTTGGGTGTTCTCACTCAATTTTTAGGAGTTCTCACTCAATTTTGGAAGTTCTCACTCAATTTTGGGAGTTCTCACTCAATTTTGGGAGTTCTCACTCACTCAATTTTGGGAGTTCTCACTCAATTTTTGGGAGTTCTCACTCAATTTTGGGAGTTCTCACACAATTTTTGGGTGTTCTCACTCAATTTTGGGTGTTCTCACTCACTCAATTTTGGGAGTTCTCGCTCAATTTTTGGGAGTTCTCACTCATTTTTTGGGTGTTCTCACTCAATTTTTGGGTGTTCTCACTCAATTTTTGGGTGTTCTCACTCAATTTTTGGGTTTTCTCACTCAATTTTTGGGTGTTCTCACTCAATTTTTGGGTGTTCTCACTCAATTTTTGGGTGTTCTCACTCAATTTTTCGGAGTTCTCACTCAATTTTTGAGTGTTCTCACTCAATTTTTGGGTGTTCTCACTCAATTTTTGGGTGTTCTCACTCAAATTTTGGGTGTTCTCACTCAATTTTCGGGTGTTCTCACTCAATTTTCGGGTGTTCTCACTCAATTTTCGGGTGTTCTCACTCAATTTTTGGGTGTTCTCACTCAATTTTTGGGAGTTCTCACTCAATTGTTCTCACTCAATCACTCAATTTTTGGGTGTTCTCACTCAATGTTTGGGTGTTCTCACTCAATTTTTGGGAGTTCTCACTAAATTTTTGGGTGTTCTCACACAATTTTTGGGTGTTCTCACTCAATGTTTGGGTGTTCTCACTCAATTTTTGGGAGTTCTCACTCAATTTTTGGGTGTTCTCACTCAATTTTTGGGTGTTCTCACTCAATTTTTGGGTGTTCTCACTCAATTTTTGGGTGTTCTCACTCAATTTTTGGGTGTTCTCACTCAATTCTTGGGTGTTCTCACGCAATTTTGCGGAGTTCTCACTCAATTTTTGGGTGTTCTTTTTGGTTCTCACTCAATTTTTGGGTGTTCTCACTCAATTTTTGGGTGTTCTCACTCAATTTTTGGGTGTTCTCACTCAATTGTTGGGTGTTCTCACTCAATTTTTGGGTGTTCTCACTCAATTTTTGGGTGTTCTCACTCAATTTTTGGGTGTTCTCACTCAATTTTTGGGAGTTCTCACTCAATTTTTGGAGTTCTCACCCAATTTTGGGTGTTCTCACTCAATTTTCGGGTGTTCTCACTCAATTTTTGGGTGTTCTCACTCAATTTTTGGGTGTTCTCACTCAATTTTTGGGAGTTCTCACTCAATTTTTGGGAGTTCTCACTCAATTTTTCGGAGTTCTCACTCAATTTTTGAGTGTTCTCACTCAATTTTTGGGTGTTCTCACTCAATTTTTGGGTGTTCTCACTCAAATTTTGGGTGTTCTCACTCAATTTTCGGGTGTTCTCACTCAATTTTCGGGTGTTCTCACTCAATTTTCGGGTGTTCTCACTCAATTTTTGGGTGTTCTCACTCAATTTTTGGGAGTTCTCACTCAATTGTTCTCACTCAATCACTCAATTTTTGGGTGTTCTCACTCAATGTTTGGGTGTTCTCACTCAATTTTTGGGAGTTCTCACTAAATTTTTGGGTGTTCTCACACAATTTTTGGGTGTTCTCACTCAATGTTTGGGTGTTCTCACTCAATTTTTGGGAGTTCTCACTCAATTTTTGGGTGTTCTCACTCAATTTTTGGGTGTTCTCACTCAATTTTTGGGTGTTCTCACTCAATTTTTGGGTTTTCTCATTCAATATTTGAGTGTTCTCACTCAATTTTTGGGTGTTCTCACTCAATTTTTGGGTGTTCTCACTCAATTTTGGGTGTTCTCACTCAATTTTTGGGTGTTCTCACTCAATTTTTGGGTGTTCTCACTCAATTTTTGGGAGTTCTCACTCAATTTTTGGAGTTCTCACCCAATTTTGGGTGTTCTCACTCAATTTTTGAGGAGTTCTCACTCAATTTTCGGGTGTTCTCACTCAATTTTTGGGTGTTCTCACTCAATTTTTGGGTGTTCTCACTCAATTTTTGGGAGTTCTCACTCAATTTTTCGGAGTTCTCACTCAATTTTTGAGTGTTCTCACTCAATTTTTGGGTGTTCTCACTCAATTTTTGGGTGTTCTCACTCAAATTTTGGGTGTTCTCACTCAATTTTCGGGTGTTCTCACTCAATTTTCGGGTCTTCTCACTCAATTTTTCTCACTCAATTTTTGGGTGTTCTCACTCAATTTTTGGGTGTTCTCACTCAATTTTTGGGTGTTCTCACTCAATTTTTGGGTGTTCTTTTTGGTTCTCACTCATTTTTTGGAGTTCTCACTCAATTTTTGGGAGTGTTCACTCAATTTTTGGGTTTTCTCATTCAATTTTCGGGTGTTCTCACTCAATTTTTGGGAGTTCTCACTCAATTTTTGGGTGTTCTCACTCAATTTTTGGGTGTTCTCACTCAATTTTTGGGTGTTCTCACTCAATTTTTGGGTGTTCTCACTCAATTCTTGGGTGTTCTCACGCAATTTTGCGGAGTTCTCACTCAATTTTTGGGTGTTCTTTTTGGTTCTCACTCAATTTTTGGGTGTTCTCACTCAATTTTTGGGTGTTCTCACTCAATTTTTGGGTGTTCTCACTCAATTTTTGGGTGTTCTTTTTGGTTCTCACTCATTTTTTGGAGTTCTCACTCAATTTTTGGGAGTGTCTCAATTTTTGGGTTTTCTCATTCAATTTTCGGGTGTTCTCACTCAATTTTTGGGAGTTCTCACTCAATTTTTGGGTGTTCTCACTCAATTTTTGGGTGTTCTCACTCAATTTTTGGGTGTTCTCACTCAATGTTTTGTTCTCACTCAATTTTTGGGTGTTCTCACTCAATTTTTGGGTGTTCTCACTCAATTTTTTGGAGTTCTCACTCAATTTTTGGGTGTTCTCACTCAATGTTTGGGTGTTCTCACTCAATGTTTGGGAGTTCTCACTCAATTTTTGGGTGTTCTCACTCAATTTTTGGGTGTTCTCACTCAATTTTTGGGTTTTCTCATTCAATATTCGGGTGTTCTCACTCAATTTTTGGGAGTTCTCACTCAATTTTTGGGTGTTCTCATTCAATTTTTGTGTGTTCTCACTCAATTCTTGGGTGTTCTCACTCAATTTTTGGGTGTTCTCACTCAATTTTTGGGTGTTCTCACTCAATTTTTGGGTGTTCTCACTCAATTTTTGGGTCTCAATTTTTGAGTGTTCTCACTCAATTTTCGGGTGTTCTCACTCAATTTTCGGGTGTTCTCACTCAATTTTTGGGTGTTCTCATTCAATTTTTGGGTGTTCTCACTCAATTTGTGGGTGTTCTCACTCAATTTTTGGGAGTTCTCACCCAATTTTGGGGTGTTCTCACTCAATTTGTGGGTGTTCTCACTCAATTTTTGGGAGTTCTCACTCAATTTTCGGGTGTTCTCACTCAATTTTTGGGTGTTCTCACTCAATTTTTGGGTGTTCTCACTCAATTTTCGGGTGTTCTCACTCAATTTTTGGGTGTTCTCACTCAATGTTTGGGTGTTCTCACTCAATTTTTGGGTGTTCATTTGAAGGCGCCCCACCGCTAGCCCCGATTGGCCGCGGCTTTGCCCGCGTCCGCCCTTCCCAGGGCTTTTTGTGACGTCGGGCCGAGGCCTGGGCTTCGGGCCGCCGCCCCCGGAAGCGGCAGAGGTCGCGGACCCCGTGGAGGCCAAGCTGACCTGGGTGTGGCTCAAAATTAAACAGGAGGAGCAAACCGCAGGTTTTGGTCCATGTTTCCACTTTGCAGGGTTCCATTTGGGTGCCAGATGTTTGAGCCACAGCCACCTGGCAATGGGTCCAAATTTCCAAATCGCTCGTAACCCCCAGTGAATCGGACAAATAGGTAACCTAAAATGGGTGGTGCACCCAAAATGGGATCTGATTGGTTTTGACATCCGCAGCCACCTTGCGGACTCAGAAGAGTTGGATGATGCTGGAGCTCCAGGTGTAAAGCTCCGAGTAGCCTGGTGCTTGCAAGCAAGCAGGAAGCGGTGGTTCATGCCCACTGTGCAAGAGGGTTCCGCGTCCTTGTGCCTCTAACGGGCCCTATGGGTCTTACTAGGTTTGAATTTGAGGTTGATCCAGATGGTCGGCAGACAGCGAGATCGGTTCAGGCCAAGTAATGGGTCACTTTACCTTGCTATCAATGAAATTGTCCTCAACCGACTGCATTTGGGTATGTGGCAAAATTCAGCCACCAGGGGACCACAGGTTTCTTCGTCCATGTTTCCATTTTCCAGGGCAAGCCATTTTGGTGTTCCCCGTTTTTTGACCCACACCCATGTCAAGAAAGATAGCTTTGTTCCTTTCTCCAGGTGCGAAGGCTGCTTTTGAGCCTCAAGACTTCAGGCGAGGAGAGGGGGGGAGAGGGGGGAAGGGGGATAGAGATAAGCAAAGTGGTCTTGCAAAGTCACGTCCAAAGCTTTCGTCGAACTTTAGATTTGAGATTTCTGCCTTCGAACCGACCTTTTACCTTTTTTTTTGTGGTTGGGGGGGGGACAAAAGCCATGACCTGCTGCTGATCGAATTTCAGGGGCCGCCTTCGCAGTCTTCGAGACGGAGGTGGCAAGGGATGCGGCCGTCTCGGCCAGCGGGGTGCCCGGAGGCTGTCTTGTGCTGGGTTTCGAAAGAAAGCGGCCTTTTCCGCTGTGCACGAAGAAACAACGCACTCATTTCCTGAAATGTTTTTTCCTTGTTGGGTGAGGGGAATCCATCACCGGGCACATGTTCTCATCTTTTCCAGCGGGCATCTTCGCAAATGGAGGAGAAGGACCCATTTTCAGGGAAAATCGAGCCATGTAAAGGGGAACCCGAAGCGTTTAAATGGGACATGCGGGGTTTTCCCTGAGTGATGGTAGCAGGCAGGGGAAGAAGTGGAGAGACTCCCCAAGCACAAACAACATGTGAGGATGCCAAGCATGTATGGGGAAAGGATGTGTGTTCTTTGCCAATATTTTTCCTCGTAATTGGACTCTTTCCAAGTTGCTGTCATGCGCGGCGTCGTGCAGCGAAGGCTCTGCAGCTTGCATGCGTGCCAAGTCAAGACAAGAGCAAACCAGGCGGTCGAAGATGATCCCAAGAAAGAGGAAGCTGGAAGGTCGTCCATACTAGCAGCGGCACCTAGCCGCACTGGCAGCACGATTTTGCACCACGCGCTGATGGAGGCGGAAACCATGGATGAGGCATCCGATGGTTCTGGTTCTTGAAGGAAATCCCTTGCCAGAAATGGGGGCGGTGTGAAATCCGACTCACTTGTTGTTTGGGCATGTCCACAAACCGAGGAAAAACGGAAAGGTCAACGCACTCTGCAAATTCTCAATTCGCAAAATGGATCTTTGGACATCAAAATCCGGCGATTCAGGCAAAAAAAGGCGGGAACAATTCATGTTTGTCCGCATGATTCTTGTGGAAGTCGGGGGCGTCATTTGTGCCATGGTCAAAAGACGTCTTCATTTGGGTTAGCAGGGGTGATCATCCACCTAGTACGGATCCTGAACAATTCCCAATGATTCCTATGGGAAGCACGTCCCCATGGGTGTCCCGAGGGAGCTTACGGCCCCATTTCCTGCGCCAAAATGGGAGTTTTGAGACCGTGGCTCAGTTGAGTCACGGGCAACTGGAGGATCAGGTGCCATTTCTCCGGGCAAGCGGAACAAATGCCGGCTCTTCACTTCACTTCATCAGAATGGCTCGGGGCATGGACCATTTTAGATAAACAAAAGGAAAAAAAGGGCAAGCAAAAGATGAGCAGAAAAATAAGAACAAGACAAAAAAAACAAAACAATCAACTCCAAGACAACAACAACAACCAAAAAAACAACTGAGGGGTTTTGGGAGAGCCATACCATGATGCCCTGCTCTCGCTCTCGACAGGTCCTGGAGAGGCAGCACCGCGAGCTCATGTCCCAACTGGAGGGCTGGCTGCGCCGCCTCGAGGCGGTGCTGAAGCGCGAGGCGAGGCCCGCCGGCGCTTTTCGTGGTTATTTTTTTTGGGCGAGTTGGTACACGTTTTGTTGTTTTAGGGGTGGGTACCCCCCCCCCCCCCCCCACTTCCATTTTTTTTTTTTTTTTTTGGGGGGGGGGGTATTGTTAATATTGAATTTTTGAGTTCGTACCTGTTTGTCTGGGGTGGGTACCCCCCCACTTCCTTTTTTTTCTTGATTTTTGAATGTTTGAGTTGGTACCCGTTTTCTTGGGTGGGTACCCCCCCCACTTCCCTTGTGTTTTGTTTTTATATTTTTGATTTTGCGTTGGTACCCGTTCTTTTGAGGGTGGGTACCCCCCCCACTTCTCTTGTGTTTTGTGGTTTTTGAATTTTTGAGTTGGTACCGTTTTTTTTGGGGGTGGGTTACCCCCCCCCCCCACGTCCTTTTTAATATTTATTTTTGAATTTTTGAGTTGGTACCCGTTTTTTTGGGAGTGGGTACCCCCCACCACTTCCCTTTGTTTGATTTTTGAGTTGGTACCCGAGTTTTTGGGGTGGGTACCCCCCCCCCCTTTCCTTTTTTTAATTTTTGAATTTTTGTGGAGGGCCCATTTTGTGGCAATTTTGTGGTCGTTCCCCGATTTTGAAACATCGGTCAGTGTTCCCTCACGACTTGGATTGGTGGCGGGGAGCTTCCAGGGGTACCTTCCCATGAGTTTTCGCAGCATCAAGTCGAACCCCCCAAACCACCCGCCTTGTCATAGGTGTGCTTTTTAGCTTAGTGTGGTTAAAAAAGCACTGGTTCAGATGGGTTTTATTCCACTTACCAGGGAAACCCATCTATTTTCCAAAAGGACACCTATGCTCCTTGTGGGTCCTTTTTCATTTCTGCCCTGCAGAAAATGCCTTGAGGTTCCGCCAGAGCGGAACCGGAGACGGTCCTCGCGGAGTGAGATGGGCGTGGCCTTCGAATGGGACGAGCCTCAGGAAGATGAGCGGAATGGGGCGCGGACCGTGCAGCTTGAGAACGGCGAAATTGATGAGACTCAGGACAATTTGCGCGCGCGTGTGTGTGTGTGCGCGTGTGTGTGTGTGTGTGTGCCGGAGTACTCTTTTGGTTTTAAAGAGAAGCCAAAAGGAAGCACCCTGCCCAGTATCTTGGAGTTGGTACCCCGTTTTTGTTTTGGTTTCAAAGGGAAACCAAAAGGAGCGCAGTTGAGAAGCCTCAGTCCATGGTTCATTGGAGGACATGGGGGGGGTGAGTTCTGATTCTGCGAAGGAAATCATATGACCACAAGGGTCTGGGCTCGGTGCACCTAGACGCATGGGCTGGGTCTCACGAAAATAGCCATCTTTGGCCTGGCCCTCACTTTGAGAGGGCCTCTTTTTTTCCAGAGAGCAAAGGGGTTAGATTTAACGTGCTCGGGGACCGCAGGTTTTAGTCCTTGTTTCCATTTTGTGTGTCTATTTGTAACCCACCCCCAAGTGGTGTTTTTTTCCCGTCCCCAGGACAGGAATCACTCCATCGTCTCCCTGCAGAGGGCCGAGACTCCTCGTTCGGAAGTGAGCGCAAAGCCGACGCTGAGAAGGAGCCAGATTGAGGGATCTGCAGAGCGAGAACAATTGGGGGGTGATCAAAAGTTTCCGTGGGCCCCCCGAATGGGTAACTTTTCCCATGTGGTTTATCATCTTTTTTGTGGCCTTCCCCAATGGTCATTCCATGTAGAGGACCTCTTGATCAACCTTTCCGGAGCAATTCCTCTCACTGGACGACATTGGCCCCATTGGACATGAAAGGGTGTTTAATTTTTGCTCAATCCAATATTGTCTTTGAAGTTTCTCGACCAAAGGCAATCAATCAATCGCTTTTGTTCTCCAATTCCTACAACTACCCCCCCCCCCTTTTCCTCTCACTTCAGTCCATCCTTCAACGCTGCTCTTTTTTTCTCGCGTTTTCTCCATCCCTTCGCTAGCGATTCCCCCCCCCTCCCCCCTCCCCCGAATTCCCCTGATTTCACACCACCCAATTCACGCGAACCTCTGGAACCCTTCTGCAACCTTCCCCGGCAAACCACCCCTTAGGATCCTATCCGGGCCTCTATCGACGACCCCCCAAAATGCTTCCAGCCGGGGCAAAACAACTGAAACCCGGGTCAGCCCTCGCCCTCGCCCTTCGGCCAAACCCCCCCCACAAGCACCGCCACCGCTTCCGGCCAGCACCGCCCGCCCCGCTTCCGTCCCTCCTCGCCCTCCTCGCCCTCAGCGCCCTCAGCGCCCTCGGCGCCCTCAGCGCGAAGCGCGAAGCGGAAGGACCATGAGCTACGAGAAGGCGGTGCAGCGGGGCACGCGGGTGGAGACCTTCAAGCGCCAGCAGACCGAGTCCGAGGCGGCGAGGTCCACCAAGTCCCAGTTTCGCACCTCGGAAGTTAGGAGGAAGAGCCACGGCTGTGGCTGTGGAGTTTCTTTTTTTTTTTTGGGGGGGGGAGGGGGGAACCCTTTTTGGTTGGCTTTACAGGGAAACCAGAAGGAAAACTACGAGTTTTGGCCTTGAAGCCAAAAGGCTTTTAACCACCCAGCCATTTTTATAAAATAATGAGTTGGTACCCCCTTTTTGGTTGGTTTTGCGGGGAAACCAAAAGGAGCATCATTTTTTTTTTGTACGCGGGGGGGGGGGGGGGTGTTAAAAAGACAAACTTGTGTATGTGCGTGTATTCTTTTGTTGGTTGGACCCCCATAATCGTGGCTACACAGCTTTCATCCCTTTAAAGGGTGGTTCGCAGCCAAGGTGTATTTATTTTAGCCCCCAGAGCGATTTTCGGTCTTCGGTTTCCAAAAAAGGGGTTCCAACTCAAAAAAGACACCAGACTACGCAGGTCGTTTCCTTTTGGTTTCTCTTCAAAACCATCCAAAAGGGGGTTCCCTATTTTGAGAAACCCCACCTGCTTGGTGCTGATTGCTTGAGAGCCTGTGAGTGACGTGCTAGGCAACTGGTGGGACACGACTGTCCAGCCTCAATCGGCAATTATTGCGGACTCGCTGCCATTCAACATCTTCTTCGCTTTCGTCATCATCTCTAACTCTGTGTCGGCCTGCCTGCACCGGTTGTTTTGGTCAGAGACATGTCTGACTTGCGCGCGCCAAGTCTTGGGCCGCACGTTGTGTTTGCCAAGATCCCAGGCTGCTGTGCTTTCAGCTGGAGATGAAGGCCGCATCAGAAGAGGAGCAGCCCTCCTTTCTGGCGGTGCACTTTGTCTATGCGGTTCTCTTCACCCTGGAGATGCTGGTGCGGATCATGGGTAACGGGGTGGTCACGCACTTCTGCAAAGCAGGCGGGCGAGTGAGGGCGCCTGTTTGGGTGTCTGCTGTTTCTCGAGGCGATGCTACCCTTGCTTTGATTGGCAACGAGACCAAGAGGAAATCCGAAGCCGGCCTACTTTTTCTGGGATGTGCACATCCCCCCCATATATATATATGATAGACAAAGAAAAATACAAAACAAATCGGGTGTGGCAAACATTTCCCGACGGCTTGCTTGTCCGCCAACCGTGGCTTTTTCTTTTTGTCGCAGGCTCTGGCTGGAATTGGCTGGACGTGCTGGTGGTGGTCCCCGCCTGGGTGGAGATCGCCATTGACCTGCTCTCGCGAAACACCGGCGGGGCTCTGGGCTTCGACCGCGAAAACGAAACCAAACTTCCTCGTGAAACAGGGCTCCTTAAAAGAAATGTCCATTTTGCCTTTCCATTTGAAAAACATGGCTTTTTCAGCACCAAAATAAAGTTGGAAACCACCATTTACAAGTTGCAATGTTAGGTGTATAATGTAAGGATCCCTGTGAAACGGAGAACTCCTTGGACGTTTGGCCATGGGTTGCATAACCTATGGCTCCATTTTGGGGTGGATGAACATCCATTTGCCACCTCATGATGTTGACCCCATATGAATTTCAACCCCAGCTTATGAAAATACGGGGGTGTCCCTGGGTGAAATGTGGGAAATCAGACCACTTTTGGAGGGGCTCCCCCCCTATGAATAAACTGGGGTGCATTGAAAAGGAGCAGAGCTCCATGGACATTGGGCTGTGGCTCAAAACCATGGAGACCAAAATTTGGCACTTGTAAGACAAAGACTCAAACCGACATCTTTTCAAGAGGGGCTGCGGCAAACATGCGAACGGGTTTGCCCAGTTTGGGGTGTTTGTTTTCTTTTGGTTTGTTTCGGGACATGTGAGGAACGCCGAAAAGCATTTCGAGGGGTCCAACTGTGTTCTGAGACAAACCCATGTGTCAAACTTGGGGAACCTCTGTAGAGCGCGCCGCGCCTCAACAAAACACTCCCCCCACCCCCACCCCCAAACCCCCCCCCCCCCCCAAAAAAAAAGAAGAAAACCAAACAGAAACCCAAAACCCCCCCAAACAAAAACACCCAAAACACCCAACAACCCCAACAAAAACCCAAACCCCCAAAACCCAACAACAATCAGTCGCTTTGTAGCGACTGACGCGATTTCCGAAGGATCAGAGGGGGGCGCTGCCAGCAACTTGCGCATCATCCGGATCTTCAAGATCACGAGGCCTGCATTGCTTGCAGTGGCTCAACAGGCGTCAAAGGTTCCGGGATGAAACAAAGCCACCATGCTTGGTGGTTCCCAGCCATCCCGCTCCTGAAATTTCGAGTTGGTTTAGTGGTAGTTCCCTCTTAACCACTAAACGTTAGACTTTTAGCAGATCATTTGAGGACAGCCCAGCATGGTGGTCCTGAAAAGAATCAACAACACCATGGAAACTTACTTCTTGCGGCTTTGGGGTAGCATTTTGACAGATGGCGGAAAGCGACTTGGTGCCAGCGTGCTTGTTCTGGCACTGCTTCTTTTGTCAACCTACGTCTCTTGTTGGTGCATGTCTGCACGTTTGTATGAATTTGGGTATGCGTTTTGCAATGTACTCGACATGTGCATATCATGCATGGTGCATGCATGTTGCATGCCTTTTGTATGCATATTGCATGTATTTTGGGATTTGGCCTTACTTCTCAGACGCGCACAACATGCATACAAAAGGCATACACAGGGCATACAAAAGGCATACAAAAGGCATACAAAAGGCATTCAAACAGCATACAAACGGCATGTTTTCTTGGCTCTGGCGCAGCAATCATTTTGTGTGCAGTTTTTATGCATTCCTGGCTTTGGCATGGCTACCTTCAAACTGCTATTGCGAGACAGATTCATACTGCACGCATTGTGTATGCCTTTTGCACGCATTTTGTGTGCGTATTGTATACTGTTTTTTGATTTGGCTTGGGTACCTCCGAAACGCATGCAACATGCGTGCAGAATGCATGGACAAGGTGTGACTCTGGCGTAGCATGCATTTTGGGTGCACGTTGTATGTCACTGCACAACAATGCGAGGCAGCTTCATTTTAACGCACGGCATATTCTATATAAAATGGAATCGACATGCTGCAGTATGTCTTTTTTTCTGTGCATCTTGGACTCATTCTTCGTTTTGGCATGGCTACCTTCGAAACTGCAAAAAAGATAACATGAGAAACGGCATAGTTTTGCATAACACCACTGCATGTTGTTTGCATAGTGTATGAGTTGTTTTTTGTTTATTTGCCCTGGATACCTTGAGAATGCATACAGCATGCTTACAACATGCAAACTGCATATTTTAAAAGCATACAGCATGCACACAAATGCACATGTCTCGCATTGTTGTGCAGTGTTGGGGCAAAATAGGGGCTTTGTGGCATTTGGAAGGTTCCCGGGCCAAATTGGAAAAACAAAGAAAAACCCGCATTCAACATGCATGCAAAAATGCAAACTGAGTCAAACAAAACACCATGCATACACAATGCATACATAATGCATACATAATGTATGCACTGACTTGTCACACATTTTGTGCAGTTTTATGCGCAAATTCAAACTATCCAGTGTTTTTTTTTAAAGGGGATCCAGTGTTTTTGTTCCCTAGGGCGTGTTTTTTGGGCACTAGGGCTGTGGTTGGTTGGTTGGTTGTTTGGTTGGCTGGCTTGCCGCATCCGCGGCATCACTATGGCTGATTTTGGGAGCCAGTTGGGAGTTGCTGGGGGCTAGTTGGGGGGGGCGGGTTTAGGCCACCCCGAGCCAAGTGAGGCTGGTGATGCTGGGGATGTTGCCAGCCCTGCGGAACACCAGCCCTAGGAAACAACCAAAAGCATCTCTACCATGTTTTTCAAGGTGCCGAGGCAAACTCCAAAAGCACCTCTACGTGCTTTCCTTCCCTTTCCCCTTGCTTTCCCTTGCTTTCCCTTGGTTTCCCCTTGCTGTCCCTTGCATTTGCTTTGCCTTGCTCTCCCTCAGTTTCCATTTCTTTCCCTTCCTTTCCCTTCTCAGTTTCCTGCTGCTTTCCCTTCGCATGCTGCAGATCGACTCGCTTTCGTTGCCTTGCTGGCTCCAGCCGCGATCGCCTTGAGCGGGAAATGCGGGCCATGCTGGTGATGCTTGCTTTGGTGCGTTTTGCCAAGGGCTGTTAGGACTTCTTTTTGTGTTTCCATTAAACCACTAAAAGTTAAACTTTTAGGGGAGCAGAAAACAACCGAGCTTGCATTGCTTCCTTTTCCCACCTATATCTCTTGCATTGGGTTGGACTTCGCTGAGGATACACAATGCGTACAAGATGCATGCTGCATGCTCCTGTATTTTGTATGCGTTAATGTCTACCTCTGATTAATAACCCCCCCCAACAACTTCCCTCCCCAAATAGTGTTCTGAACTTGATTACGAATTGCTAAGTATTGCACACATATTCTTGTGTTTCAGTTGATTTACTATTGCTGGAGCCTCCTTTTGAGATTGGATTCGGGGTTCCAATTGGTTTAGTATTGGTGGATTTGAGTTTTTAATTGATTTCGTATTGCTGGAGCCTCCTTTTGAGATTTGACTTGTTGGGATTCCAATTGATTTAGTATTCCATTTTTTTGTGGGGGGGGCAACCAGAGATCTTTATTTAGGGCCCCCCCCCCCTAAATAATGTTTTTTTCAATCCCCAAGTACTACCCCCTTGTAGGGTTGATTCGAGGCCACTTTTCAAACAAGAGTATGTAAAGAATTTGCAGTTTGGGAGCTAGTATTTTTTGTAGATCTGACATTTTAAGGCAGGCGAGGCAGTGTGTGTGTGTGTAGGTGTGTTGTTTGGTGTGTTTTTGTGAGTGTGTGTGGATTCCCCGCAAAAAAAAACAAAAACAACAACACCATTATTTATTTCGGGGGGTTTATTAATCAGTGCCGGCCCACAACATAACTTTAATCGGGGGAGGTTTTTTAATCATAGGTCGACTTTATTGGCTCTGGCGCAGCATGTATTTCTGTGTGCACTTTGTATGCATATTTGGCTCTGGCATGGCTAGCTTCAAGCTGCATTTTGTATGCGTTTTGAATGCATGTTGCGAGACAGGTGCACGTCATGCATGGTACATACATCATACAATAGGCACGCAGCATGCTTTTGTTGTGCGCTTTGCCTTGCTACTTGCTTTCCCTTGCTCTTCCTTGCATTCCCTTGCTTTGCTTTGCCTTGCTGTCCCTTGCTTTTCCTTGCATTTCCCTGCTTTGCCTTGCTTTCCCTTGCTTTTCCTTGCGTTCCTCTTTTTTCCTTGCGTTCCGTTGTGTTGCCTCGCTTTGCCTTGCTTTCCCCCAATTTTCGTTGCTCGCCCTCAATTTTTCCTTGCTTTCCCTCAGTTTCCCTTGCTTCGCCTTGCTGTCCCTTTGCACCCATGCCGCAGATCAGGGCAGCCGCTTTCCGATCGCTGTTGTCGGTTGGCGCTTGATGTGCCCCGATGTTTTGGCGAGGCTGCTGCAGGTGGTGAGATCCTTGCGCATCGTCAAGTTCATCAGCGCGCTGCGGGCCCTGGTGATGTCCGTGGTGGACACCACGCGGCAGCTGATGTGGGCGCTCTTGCTTCTGGGGCTGGTGCAATATAGCTTCGGCGACTCGGCTTTTTTGGACAGCGGCGAAGGCTTTCCACCATCCAGACCTGTGCCCGTTCGGAACAGCAGGTTTCAACTGGGCGGTTCGCAGCCGTCCCCTTGGCTTTTTAAGCTTTTGGGTTTAGTGGTAGTTTCCATTTCACCCACTCGAAGTTATTCACTTTTAGAAGGGGCCGAGTCAAAGGCGGTTTAAACATGCTTGAATCGCCCAACATTTGGACCTAGGCTTGCTTTTCACGGATGCGGTGCTGGACCATGCCGTAAACAATGGGCCTGATGCAGCGCAGATGAGGTATTTTGGTACCGTCTACACGTGACCTTGACGCATTCTGTTTGCGGCAAGCGCGGGGTAAACTTGTCTTTAGGGGTCAACCCCCAGTAAAACAAAGGTTGACCAAGTTTAGAGGATGAAACTCCTGAACGGTACACAATGGTTATAGCTACCCCCCCCCCCCGCAGATGGTATGCGTTATCCAGGACGCCCCCCCCCCCGGCCCAAGACCCCAAGCCCCCGGATCCTGGTACGTCCCACCGCCACCCCGACCCCCTGAACTCGCACCTCGACACCCCGGCACCCCCACCCCCAGGACAATCAACCCGCAACCAACCATAAACCAACCCTAAACTAACCCTAAACCAATCCTAAATACACCCTAAACCAAACCCTAAACAGTAAACCCTAAACCTAAACCAGCACTAAACATAAACCAACCCTAAACTAACCCTAAACCAACCCTAAACCAGCCCTAAATACACCCTAAACCAAACCCTAAACAATAAACCCTAAACTTAAAACAACCCAAAACCAATCCTAAATCAACATAAACCAACCCTAAACCAACCCTAACTAAACCAATCCTAAATCAACATGAACCAACCCTAAACTAACCCTAAACTAACCATAAATACACCCTAAATACACCCTAAACCAATTCTAAACCAACCCTAAACCAACCCTAAACCAACCCTAAACCAACCCTAAACCAACCCTAAACCAACCCTAAACCAACCCTAAACCAACCCTAAACCACCACAACCCAACCACAAAACCACAAAACCACAAAACCACAAAACCACAACCGCAGGGGGGGGTACTTGTCTGACCCATGACCATTGAAAGGGGGTGCTGTACCATGCATACCCCCATTGTTTTAATGGTTTGAATCCCAGGGGTTGTGGCTTGCGGACAAGCAGGTTTGTCGTGCAGCTCGCAAACCGAACCGGAATCTAGTGACTACGGACAAGGTTGCTTGAGAGAAGCTTTGGCACAGATGCAACGGAGCCAGCTTTCGCATCAGCTTCCCCAAGAACTAACTCGCGTCGGATTAGTCCGGAGCATCATCTCCCCCAAGAAACACCTCCCTGATTCCCGGATACGGTCCGAGGCTGACTAAGCGATTCCAGGGAAAGTCATGTGTGTGTCGTATCCGGTTTCGGAACCCTTTTGCCAGAGCCCATTCAACGAATTGGTCATTGCAATGTGTAGACAGGTGGCAACCGCCCATTCGTTTAGGTTGCATTCTATTTTCCAGCAGATCCGCAAGCTGTTGACAGAGTGACCTTTACAAGCGAATGGAAGCGTGTGCTTTGGAGCATTGTAGAGTGGGGTTCTCTTCCGGGCATCAGGGCAACAAGTGTCTCGCTGGTGA